ACTCAGAGACAATCAGCTATGGTTTCATCACGGAAGAAAGACAGGTCCACATTACCTGAAATGAACCAACATCAGCCATAACCTACAAATTACGAGGGGGACATTGAGGCGTAGTTTTTCGAACTCCTTTCGATGTGAAAGAATTTTCAAGTGACGTGGGCTTCCAATTCAATAAATCCTGTAGTGTATACAGAAGAGTTTATCCAAGAAGCAAGCGACAAACAGGATATTCAATACATCCTCTATCGAGTACTGATTTGTCAACAATTTAAGGACTCTCTATCCCCTTATTAAGGTCGGCTCTGTGGCCAAGTCGATGCGAACGCTTCGTAATGCCGGGGTACCGGGTTCGATCCCAGCCGCGGGCCATACGCCTTGCGTTGGTTTCGACAGTGGTGTCAGGGAGCTGACCGTCAAGGAAGCAATGGCAAACTACTGGACGTAAATTTGCCTAGTGAAACCACACAACAGCCAGGGGCTGATGGGGTTGGTTCTGCAACGTCCTGTAAAGGATACGCAACTAACCTTTTATCCCCTTATTATACTCCAACGCATATCATGGTCGATCCTTTACTTGTTTGAGTAATTGAATGTTTAAGTAAAGTAGAGCAATCCTTTTCACATCTTCATGAGTATTGGGCATATAAGGCAATACCTTTATTTTATACATCAATCGACTCATGATTTTACCTGACACCTATTGAAGGTCGGCGTCTGTGGCTTGGGCCTTGCCAACGTGCTTCGTAATGCCAGGATGTCAGGTTCGATCCCAGCTGCAGGCGATTCCGAAGCAGATTGTCTTGCTTTGCTTTTGATAATGGTTCTGGAAGCCAAACGCTTTGACAGCAATGGCAAATTACTGAACGTTAAAACCTAGAAAAACCGCAACAGCCCCCCAAAAATGCCGGGGTTGGTTCTGCAACGTCCTGCAATAGATAAGCAATTTCCTTTAAACCTCTTTAAGACGTGGTTGACCTGGGAGCATTAATTAATTTTCTTAAAGTCTCGTCCTGTCAGGACTTAAACCCTCGAACTTTGGATTTACAGGCTAGTGTCTAGCTGCTACACCAGGGCAGCTCCCTTGAATAAGTTCACATAATTGTTTTTTTTTTAAGTTTATTTTTTTTTAAAATTATTTTTAAAAGTGCATTTTCCTAAATGCACCTGTCAAATATGGAAGTATGTACACTTTATAACGCTTACATTTACCTTAACTAACATCTTCCCTAACTAATATTTACCTTAACTTCTTCTTCTTCTTTGCGTTCACCAGCTATAAACTGGCAGAAGTTTTTGGTTGTTCATCCACTTCTGGACTGCAGTCCTGTTCCAGAACCTGAGTGTTGCGTGTGCATACGTTTACAGATCTGACTCATTTGTGTGCAGACTGCTGGTTCCTTGCCTCTCAGGCAGATGCACTCCGACTTTAAAGGAAGCTCTCAATTAATTGACTCTTACGACATGCTTTAGGGTATGAACTGAACTGAACTGAATTTCTACCCCACCAGGACATCACACAAGCGATAAACACCCGATGACACAAAGTGCCACCATGTGGATGAGGATCGCCGTGGAGAGGTCCCAGAAACCGCGTTCAGACATCTGGCCATATAAATGGCCTGCCTATATTGCGGCCCCTGGCAAAAGCCAGAGTGGGGCTTCAAATGACAAAAAATGTCGTCCTAAAAAGGACGAAATTTGGTATATGTTTAGGGTATGCAGTGGGTCTATTCTTATTTACTTTAACTAATATTTACCCTAATAGTTAACTTAACGAAGCTTGTCTGAATGCCTCCAGATCGCGGTCATCACTTCAACACCGCCCTGGACAAGATTCACGTGAGGAACATCAAGGAGAAGCTGTGCTATGTGTCACTAGACGGCACCAAAGAGACGCAGCAACCACCCGCACAAACCACAACTTCAGCGTCCAACTATCAACTGCCGGATGGCAAGGTTATTTCCCTTGCTGACGAAAGGTAAGCTATTGTGCTGCAGACTCGACCAGTTCCGAGACATCATCATCATCATCATCGCGGCCATTTTTCACCATCCTTGCTATATGATTCATCGTCATCAACATCATCCATCAGTGCTGTCATCATAATCATCATCATCATAATCATCATCATCATCAACATCATACTCAGTATTATTATCACCATTATTTTAATCATCTGCCTTGTCAACATTATCATAACATTAGGGACAATTTCTTACTCAAATTCCTGTAGTCACATACGTTTTATATTGCACAAAAAGACAAACTTGTGTCCCTCATAGACACTAATAACCTCCTTGTGGAATGCAATTTTTCTTTAATCTGAAGCCTCACCCTGACTCTTGCCAGGGGCCGAAATACAGATGGTCTAATGGCTGAACGCAGTTTCTGGGACCTCTCCACTGGTGATCCTCATCCACATGGTGGCACTTTGTGTCATCGGGTATTTATCGTTTGTGTGATGTTCTAGTGGGGTAAAATCTACTACTACTGCTACTACTATTACTACCACCACCACCACAACCACCACACACTACTACTACTACTACTACTACTACTACTACTACTACTACTACTACTACTACTACTACTACTACTACTACTACTACTACTACTACTACTACTACTACTACTCCTACTACTACTGCTTGTGTCCCCTGAATTCCCCTGATAGTCATGTAATATCTCTTCCTTATCCCCAGATTTCAGTGTACGGAGATGCTCTTCCAGCCAGACAAATTTGGATTCTCCGAGAAGACGGGAGTTCATCAAATGATTAACAGCGCCATTTCCGCTTGCGAGCTCGATACCCGGAAGAGTTTGTATAATAATGTGATTCTTAGCGGAGGGAGTACACAGTTTGAGGGATTGGTGAATAGACTCAAGCAAGAGCTGAAACCGTTTGGCGCATTGGGCGCCGAGGTAGGTCCACAGTTAAATAATTTTAAAAAATCAAATTCTTCTTTTTTTTTTTTTTTCTTCTTCTTCTTCTTCTTCTTCTTCTTCTTCTTCTTCTTCTTCTTCTTCTTCTTCTTCTTCTTCTTCTTCTTCTTCTTCTTCTTCTTCTTCTTCTTCTTCTTCTTCTTCTTCTTTTTTTTCGTGCTTCTTCTTCTTGTTCTTGTTCTTGTTCTTGTTCTTCATCTTCTTCTTCTTCTTCTTCTTCTTCTTCTTCTTCTTCTTCTTCTTCTTCTTCTTCTTCTTCTTCTTCTTCTTCATGCTTCTTCTTCTTCTTCTTCTTCTTCTTCTTCTTCTTCTTCTTCTTCTTCTTCTTCTTCTTCTTCTTCTTCTTCTTCTTCTTCTTCTTCTTCTTCTTCTTCTCCTCCTCCTTCTTCTGCTTCATCTTGTTCTTGTTCTTCTTTTGCTTCTTGTTCTTCTTTGCTTTTTTCTTTTTGTTCTTGTTCTTCTTCTTGTTCTTTTTGTTCTTCTTCTTCTTTTTCTTCTTCTTCGTCCTTCTTCTTCTTCTTCTTCTTCTTCTTCTTCTTCTTCTTCTTCTTCTTCTTCTTCTTCTTCTTCTTCTTCTTCTTCTTCTTCTTCTTCTTCTCCTCCTTCTTCTGCTTCATCTTGTTCTTGTTCTTCTTCTTCATCTTGTTCTTGTTCTTTTTCTTTTTGTTCTTGTTCTTCTTCTTGTTCTTTCTGTTCTTCTTGTTCTTCTTCTTCTTTACCTATAAAAGTGTGGCTTGTGTTATGATTTACAACTAGAATGGGATATCTCCTCCCCATGACCTGACACATCTGATTCCAACAAAACCCTAATAAAACATGCTTGTTCAGTGTCAGTGGTCTATTTCCCTGCCCCATGCCTTCTTTTAAATTCATCTTGGGTGTCCAGAACCCATATGGGGTCATTGTTCTACCTAAAAAGGTATGTTGTTTTTATACGCACCGAAACCTTCAGCGATATGTGAAATACTCGGTGCCAGCGACGGATATGTGGTTTTATAGATGAATGATAATACCCAAGAGTAATGAAAATGTCTTGAATGAAATAATCTCCCAGAAAAAACCGATTGTCAACGCCAGAAGGAGACAATCTACATTCTTTGGTTAAATCATGAACTGATTGTCAACGCCAGAAGGGCACAATCTACATTCTTTGGTCAAGTCATGAGAAGGAGAAAACTGGAGTACATCGTGACGGCAGGAAAGTTGAAAGGGAAAAGAGACAGAGAGAAGTCGAGCGAGAAAATGCTGAACAGTTTGACATCTTGGCGTGAAAGATCATATTTTTTTCAGAATCGACTGAAAGTATACGAGAGAAAAGGTTGTGGATAGACATGACTACCAACGCGACACGGCATGAATAAGGAAGTTCATCTGTGTCAGAATTATTTGAAAGTGCACGAGACAAAAGCTTGTGGATAGACATGACTACCCACGCCCCAAGTCATAGACCCCAAAAAAGTTTGGATAGACATGACAAACTTCGCCACATGGTAGGGACCATAAGAATAATGTTGAATTAAGAATCGACATCACAGCTCTAGAGACAAACCTCCTAAGCTGTCCGTCCTTATCTTCAGCAGCAAGCGAAGAGTTCCAATTCCGATGGCACCAGTAACTGTCTAATTGCAAATTCGTCTCGCTCTTTCCCTGAGTGTTGAGAGTCAGTCAGATCCTCTTGTAACTCTTCACAGCGCCATTCTCCCCAGACTGTAATGATCTATCTGTGCCTCTGCCCTGTTCAATCGCTTCCAAAGAGCCCTCACAACATCCAGCCTGTCATACATCTATTCACCACCAAGCTTGTACACATAAGAAGAGGATATATTATGATTCAACACAGACACGATCAGGGATTTTGGTGATCACGTGGGATGGGGAACCATGCCCCCCCCCCCTCCCTTTCCAAATTCCCAAATAATGTATAGATACTAAATATGCTGCAGTGGTATCGTAGTCTCTATACTGTTTCATAGTTGCATGTTTGGTGTATTTGTAGGCCAGAATATCTGCCCCCAAGGATCGCATCTTGTCTGCCTGGTCAGGTGGCTCTGTTCTTGCCTCTCTGTCTTCCTTTGAGAGTAACTGGATCAGCAAGAAGGAGTATGAAGACTCCGGGCGTCAAGTTGTCCACACCCGATGCTTCTAGATCAGGATGTCGTCTGCTTGAATGTAGAGCTGGAGCAGCCATGGGTCCAAAAAAAAAAACGTGGAGCTGCTGCGTTTGTACGAGACCATACGAGACTTTATTTGAAATTTACATTTTCAATTTGAAATTTTTATTTTTATTTAAACTTCTATTTGTAATTGAAATGTATATTGTTATTTGAAATTTATATTTTCATTTGAAATGTATATATATTTATACGGATCTAGCTTTCTAATTTAGCTACTGCTAGAATATATATTTATATATCTTTATTAGACTCTATTAGAGTATATGTATTTATATACTCGACCGTATTATAGTACCTATTTTAAGTGCTACATCGGTTAGTACAGTTGTATGTTAGACAATATTAAAGTGTCTCTAGTTCTAGCTTAGACTGTATAAGATACATATCTTTGTATTTTAGACATTCGTTTGTTTATTGGACTGTCTGTTACTACCTGTCTTATTTTGCTAGATTTTACTATTGGGAACTACTTCTGTATTTGAGACCTTATTCTATTAGACACTTTTTTGTATATTGCACCATATTTAAGTATCCATATTTCAGGTATAATTTGTAGCTGCTGGCACCTTTCCGTCTCTCAAGACGATAGTTTTCTATTGTGCTTTAAGAAGATGTAGGCATTACAGCCAGTGGTGATATCCAGTTGAGTCGAAACCTGGGTTTCTCCTCTCCACAACACAAAGCCTGGATAGTATAGAGACCATATTGAAAAACTTGCAGCACAATCCACACCTCCGTCTGAATTTGTATAATAATGTATAGGTTTGCTCATTCACTTAACCGAAAGGGGTCCTAGAATACCACCTAGACGTGCCAGATGGACTCATTCCAGACTTAATTTCTTTCAGAACATTTTGCTGACATTATTTATCTACTCATGGCGATAAGCACGCATAATTCCCCCCGCCATAAAATGTTTTTACAATGTTGAAATATTGCATTGTTAACCTGGGTCGACCAAGAAACTCAGGTCAAAAAAAAAAAAAAAAAATTAATGTTGTGTTTGAACTCACGAGACTGGGGCAGGCAAGCAAGCTTACCTTTGCTACCACCTGAGTAAGATATCTTAACATGTTCTGGAGCGTCATGAGAAATAGACTCATAGGTATTGATCAGCACTTCTAGTAATGACATATATGATAGAGGTGATCAGAAGTCATGCTAGATATGATAAAAACTGAATGTTTTAGACAGAAGTTGATTTGAACATAACATCTCAGGTGTCGTCAACCATATGAAAAAGAAATGTAAGATTAAATAGGCACCATACAGTACTGAAAAAATACTGCTAAATGCTCTCTACGTACAGGAAAGAGGTCCCTGGTCTGGGCAGTCACCATTTAGGCCGAAACCAAGGGGTGTGGATCAGTGAAGAACATGTTTCGTGCTACAGCCTTCATAGAGATTGGCGACCATCTCATCCTAAAACCACTTTTAGGGAGAGCGAAAAAAAGGCTAAGTGCAAGGAAACAGGGGCAGGGATCGACCAGCTGGAGGTACTATGTATGTCAATATGCCACCAATGGATGCACATTAAAATGTTGTCATCATTTGCAACGGTTTTTTCTTCTTTCAGAAAGACATCTATGACATCTGAACACAATTTGCTACAATAATTCTGCTACCTTGACATATACAACAATATATTTTGTGCCTGAGTTTTCTTTTCCTTTGAATATTTTTATATTTACATAATGAGATGTAGTTTCTGAACCATTTGGTCCTGATATTTTTTTTACAGAACTCGGTTCCATGTCTCGTTTATTATTATTTTTAAATAAATATATTAAAACAACAATTCTACATTTATGACACATACTTATATACTCATATATTATTTTACTGGGTGTGGTTACATGTAAAATCAGATTTTTATACGTTTTTCTATATGCTGCTATGCGAATGCAGAACAGTTTGACGGCTTGATATGAGAGATCGTCAGAAAAGGTTGACATGACTACCAACACCATACGGCATGGTTTTGAAATAAAAAGCAATGAGAATAATAAAGACATCAACAGCAACATAATTTACTGAAGAATGTGAAACACAGAAATATAAACAGTGGCCTCAAAGCAATGCCTTTGCACTTCCAATCTCATGACCACCTAGGATTCCTCAACATGGAGGATACGACTATCAAATCCAGCCACTCCAAGCGAAAATCGCCTTATCCAACACATGGGTGCCAATTCACCTAGGGGACGTAACATCCAACACAGTTTCATCAGATATCTTTGAGTTTGTCTCTTGTCGCTAGGGGCATTTTCTGGCCGATATCTATTCACGGTAGCAACACACGTGTCATGTATTCTACTGACCTGATAGCAGTGTGATTTCTATCAGAAATATGTCAGTTTATTTTATATATTCTTGTTCATATTTATGGTATTGTAGATGACACAGTCCTCTTTTCGAACAGCGTAAATGGAATCTAAAATTTAATATTGTCTGTCCAAAAGCACAGTGAAGATCAAAATCTGTTTATGAATTTAAAGAAAACGAAAATAATGTCAACAAATAAAACTGGCTGTCACCCAAAAATGACAATAAATGATGAAGAAATTGAAAATGTCACAAACTTTGAATATCTAGGCTCTATAATAAAAAACAGCAATGGAGACTGTTCAACAGAAATTAAAAGGAGGATGGCCTTGACAATGCAAAGATTGAACAGCCTTAAAAGTCTTTGGTTAAGCACCAGCAAGGAGATAAAAATTAGAATTTTGAGAGCATGCATCTTCCCCGTCGCTACATACGGATGTGGGTCGTGGACTATCTCTCAGTCCTTAAGAAAGAGAATAGGGGCTTTTGAGCTGAAATGCTATAGAAAGATTCTCAGAATATCTTGGAAAAAGAAGAGTAGAAATAATGACATCTTGAAAGATGTGAACATCAAGGAAGATTGGCTAATAAACAGCATCCTTTCTCGGAAGCTGAAATACTTTGGTCATATCAAGCGCCACAACGGATTGGAAAAAAAAAACTATAGCAGAAGGCATGGTACCAGGAAGGAGGGGCAGGGGCCGACCGACACGAAGATGGGCACAGGATATAAGTGACTCCTTGAGTATGAAAGTACACGAGGCAGGAGAACTGGCGAGAGACCGAGTTTCTTTCAGGCAGACTGTGATGAGAGCGACGTTCTGCAAACGACTGGCTACATGATGATGATGATGATGATGAGATGTGTGTAATATGCTGATGAAGGCTATCTAGCAGGAACGTTCACTTGTGTGCTATATTTGTGGTATTGTGAGCCTGACTGGCACTACTTGCCATTTGGTTTGATGTCTTTTTAACGAAATATAAAAATATAAAATGATGAAGCAAGCCTCACAGCAGAGACTGATGTTGGGTTGCGAAGTGTGAGAACTTTAAGCATTATTTGCCATGACACACGAGATAGGGTGACCTATTTCTTTTCTCGCCGCCATTATTTTTTCAGGATATTCTCAGAATTTTCTGGAAGATGTCTGGCACTCGTTAGTATGGGGCGGTATCCCGCAATATAAGCTCACACAGACACCATATTTGACTTCATGTTATCTGTTCACATGAACACAGAACTTCCTGTCTGGGTACCTGTGCCCTATTGTGGGGTTAACAAGAACAGGTACACTGGGTTCCTAACAAGCATGGAGTAACAGATGACTTATCGTGAACTTTCTTCGCAATCAAAATACATCTGCCTCAGAGTAACAAATAATCTGCATGCAAATAAGTATGTAAAAAGGATGTGAATGCAACGCTCAGGTTCTGGAATAAGACTCAAGTTCGGAGTTTACAGCCAACGCGAAGAAAAAATAGAAGCAGGTAAAAGAACAACCCACAACCAATAGAAATGAAGGCAACGATAACAAGGTCAAATGAATCAAATGGAATCCAATTATAAAATAAAGCAAGTATAATATATTATTAGAAATACAAATACTACATCTATTAATCCGGCGTCATGCTGACCATATCTCCCATCAAGTGTCGATTGCTCTATAAAAATAAAGGTTTTGCCCTACAATCTCAATACGCCTAAAGGCGTGGAAAAGGGTCATTTACTCACATCCACAAATGAATAATGGATGTAAACAATGCTGATAGACTGAAATGAAGATATATGAAGTTAAATCTGAAATAATAATGATGCCTTCAGGATATGGATCTTCTTCTTTGTTCACCGGCTTTAAACTCCTAGGGAAAGTCCTGGTTGTTCGTCCAATTAAACTTTTGCTTTGTGCCAGAGTTTTGCGTATACATCCGTTTTACTGGCTTATTTGTGTGCAGTTGCTTGTTCCTTGCTGCCCGGGCAGATACACACAGATTTCGAAGGAAGCTCCCAATTAGTCGCTCTTACGACAAGCTTTTTTGGTAGGCAGTGGATATATTGTTGTTTTCCCGGCAATGGGGACCAGGAATATAAACTAGAAATCTAAATTTAATTGACCTGGGCATCCCAGGTTAGCCTTGCCTAAAAATGTTATCGGGAAACGTCAAGGGAAATATAGGCGTTCTATGAACGGCTCGCTAGCTCAGTTGGTTAAACCTTACTTCACGGCGACCGGGTTACGAACTTGCGGTCCAGGTTCGCGCCTCGGGGTAGGCAGAAAAGCCACATATTTGCCAGATTTACTTTATCTATCATGGAATCAAGGCTGAAGGGTTGCGATATCCGGAATACCGAACCAAAGGGTTAACAACTCATGGTTTTTGGATATTAGGAGGAGGGGGGGGGGGGGGGGTGAGGGGAAAGGCGTTTTATCTATTGTTGATAACGTCATTCGCTGATTCTCGACTGGTCATTAAAATCATATGGGTCTTGCCCTATATGCCAGATACGCCACAGGCATAAAAAGTAACCTTCATTTTTGTTTCACAATTAGGACGCTTAAGTAAAGACCCTTAGTTCACACCCTCAAACATATTGACATATATTGCTAGACTTGTGTTTCATAGAGCAGTGCGCCCCCCCCCCAGT